GGGGGGGGGGGGGGGGGGGGGGGGGGGGGGGGGGGAGAAAAGAAAGGATACCCACAACTCTAGAAAAATATTTGAGTGCCAAAACCAATACATGATTTAACTGTCCGATTGCAACATATCCTTGCATTAAAAACTCGAGTGGTTAAGAATAAAATATATTAAAGCAACAGGACAACTATGCTAGACTGTAATGCCTAATCATATTATCGACTGTGGAGCAAATTTTTTTGGTAGTAAATTGACTATTCCATATACATATTAGGTTGTCCTAATATCCTGCTGCATATAGGATTATTTAGGTACTAGGTTTGGGTGTGTGAGGGGTCTGAGAAAATTGTTGTAGTATTCTCCTCCATTATTAGGAGAACCCATAGCGGCAAATGGCTGTAACTCACAATGAGAATGAACTACTATAAATCCCTGTGTTTACATTGCTAGTTTTCGGGTTTTGTTATGTTTGTTATTGCTCAAGTAAAAAGGGGATAAGGTCTTCATCCCAAACAAACTCAAAAGGTGAATTGGTATTGAGAGTAACCAGATAAAATCGTTGCTTCAAGACATATGGGATCATCGTGATCCATGGATATAACCGTTTGTCTATTTTCGAGTCCAATCAAAACATTTATAATTGATTTGCTACATCTGCAGTGAATTATTTGGACCACAATTCATCTAATTAAAAATATTAGATATCTCACCAGCAGCAATTGCCTCGTCAATAATATCCTTGAATCGATGTGAATCTAACTTAGGATCTGAGCAAAGCATGCAGCAGAAAAGCCTGCAAAAGGAATGCAAGTAATTAACCAGTAATCTTGAGATTAATAATAAAAACACCTGAATCCCAATATGTACCTGCCCATGTTACCATTGTACTTCTTGTACATTTCAATCAAATCATTTTTCTCCAAATCAGAGCCTCTATAGTTTGCTTCAAACTCTTCAATATCAGCCTCGGTGATCTGTAATGGTTATGGATATTGTTCATTTGACAGCTATAAAGAATATCAACTTGAAATTCAAAATCAATCAAAGTCACAAGATATTAACCTTCTTGTACATTGCTCGGAAAAATGTCTGCAAATTCTGGATGACATCTTCTGCTAGATCCTGTTAACCAGCAAAGAAAGACACACGTGCCTATTTTCTTAAGAACTAAGGAAAAGTGTTGTACAATACATTTTGTTAAGTCAAGGTGGCCTTCATTTTATAGAATTTATTTAGCATCAAAACTGAACCCAGTTACAAATATATGTCAGCTTGGATTTGTTTATTTAAGATTGATGCCAAACACAGAGATAATCAGCCTAAAAGAAAGACCTGGCTAAATTTAGGTAGGTTCAGAGTAGATGGAAAAAACCGAGAAGCTTCAATTCTACACAGAATAATAAGTATACACAGAAGATATTGTTATATTCTCACATGGGTTTCCTAGCTCAATAAGGAAACAGCTAAACCATCACATGTCTAAAAAGTTCATATTGGATTCTTGGTGAATCACTGCACAAGACATCATTTTGTTAGATTACACTACTTGCAAATATTTTGGTACAAAACCATAAAATTCAGTTCTCATAATTCAACAAATAAGACTGTTGTGATAAGTGCAAGTCTTCAATATATTCACTCCTTCCAATTATTTGAGCTTGATTTCATAATTTAGGGTTAAGCCAACGATATTTAAATTGAATCTCCAGATTTGAACCTTCGTTAAATCAAATATTTTAAGCATTTGACAAAATAACGTTTTCTTTTTTTCTTTTTTTTTTTTCCAAATTTCTTTTTTGTGTGAGATAGCACAATAAAAGCTTTTTTAGGATATTTTTCAAAAATCATTTTCCACAAAATCATTTCAACCATACATTATGTGGGACCCATAACCTTTCCCTACTTTTCAACCATGCATTCTAAAAATAAAAAAAAAAAAGGAACATTTTTCCATTCAAAAAATCCATTATATTCAGCCAAATTCAGTTCCTTAATAGGTTACTAGTAATTACTCATTAGTTAAACAAATAATAACAAAAATAGCAGATTTGCTGCATGACTTACAGCATCATCAATACAACCAGTCTGATCATAGACTGCTCGTTTCTCTTCGTCACCAAGGATGGATATCACTTTTTGCAGCTGCTGGAATTTTTCCTTGGCCTCCTACATCATAGAAACTTGAATGGTTAATTTTTTCTCAAGAAAAGAGTTGCCTTCTAGTAGATATTAATTTACCTCATCATCAGGATTTTTATCAGGGTGTAGGCGCAAAGCCAACTTGTAGTAAGCTTTCTTTATTTCCTGCTGGTTTGCTGTTTTTTCCACCCCGAGAATCTAAATGGTACGAGCAAATGATTACCATATGAAGCAATGTTAGAAGAAACACAATCAGTATAGATATACATAAAAATTTTCCAATGGACAAAAAGTTCCAGTCCAACTCCAGAAAATTTAAAGTGCAACACATATTGAATTAGGCTATATGATACGTCAGCCAGTTCCCCATATACCGAGCAAGATTGAACAATAGCTAATGCGTCGAAATAGAAACCGCGTGTAGGTTAAGCTGGCAATAAAGCACAGCACCTCTTCTGTGAACCAGCATATATTTGATTGTTCATTGTAATGATCCGACACTCACTGCCCCAAAGTCGAGAAAGTTTTCCTTCCTAGTATTGTTATAAAGCATAAAGTAGTTGATTTTCTCTCTAGGTCGAAAGTCTAATACGTATCCTGTGTAAATAACCTTAAACTCTATAGGGTTTTTCATATCACATTAGCATTTCTTCACTACATCCAACCCGCTCTAGTTGTATGCACTGCTTTGAGTCTCTCCTCGTAAAATTGAACCTATATAGCTAAAGGCCTAAAAAATCATTCTTTGTCTGCAACCTTAATGCATAGCCTGAATTTCATTTTTTTTTTATTTCACTAAACTTAGGGAAAGCTTAAATCTTTTTAAATCACTTTAAACAATCCAAGTAAAATCCACCTAAGGTCTAATAATATCAATAATTTTGCAATCACATCAGCTCTTGTTAATTTAAGTCTACGTCTACCTCCTGTTCTATGTAAATTTTACAGTGATTTCATATATTCATCCCTTTCTTGTGAATTCTTTTAATCATAACTACAAATTTGGGGGAAAGATGGAATTAACAACAAAAAATGGAAAACTAAAATTAGTTGAGAATTAGAAAGAAAACAATGAATTATACCTCATATAAGCTCTTGTGGCTTGAAGAAGAAGAAGATCCCGATAAATTCTCCTGATCTTCGTCAATTTCTTCATCTTCTACCTCTGAATTTTCCTCCGAAGCCCGAGGTTTCTTCGTCTTCCCCATTCTAGAAACTCTATATCAGTGCGTGAAGCGTACAGGGCGAGAAGAATAGCATATCGAAAGGGATATTAATGCCTGAATCGCGGATATTCTTTCCCGCCATATCACACGTATCTTTAGCGTGTTCCCGCCATCTGATGTTCTGCAAATGACACGTAACCAACCCATTATGGCTTGGCTCCGCCCGAATGGGACGATAGTTTCCTTCGTAATTGGGCATGTGTGGGGGAGCATGGGGTCGTTGTTCCCGAAAGAGGACGGAACTGGTACGAGGAATATCGTTACCATTTTATTTTACGTACCAATCATTCCAACATTATTCCCCATATTTATTTTGGAAAAAATGTATTTTTGAGTAATGTATCGACAAAAAATGTGCGGTTTAAAAATAATGAAAAGTTTTGAATTCATGTATAATATGATTTTATTGAAAAATATGTGGTGAAAAAGATGTCAAATCATTGTTTAATAATATTTTTTTTTTCCAAATGATGTGGATTTAACGGGTTGTAAATTTTATTTTCTTTTCTTTATTTTTAATTACACAATTTTTCATAAAATAATATTATACGTAAATCGAAAATTTTTCTTTCTTTTTTAATCACGTATTTTTCAAAAAAATATTATTCCATCGATTTTAATTTTAAAAAAATAGGGGCTAAGTTCTTGTTTAAACTTCATTTTTTCCTCAAACTCATTTCAACTATTATATTATATTCTTCCAATAAAATAATTTACATATAAATTAAAAAAATTCACTTATTTTTTTAATAACATATTCTTCAAATATTTACAATTACAAAATTTATTTTCTCAAAAAAATGAATATGACCATGCCAAAATCAACCAAAACCGGTCAACCCAATCCAAACCGACAGATTTAGGTTGATTTTTAAGTTCAATTTGAGGTCGAAATGGATTGGATTGGATTGAGTCTCAGGTTACAAATTAAAACCAAATTCAACTCAACCCAACTTGATGAATTAAAAAATTTAATATCTAATATTTGTTTGGTAGAGATTTTGATAATTGATTTTTTGACTGTTAGAAATAAAATGGGTTTTAGTTGTGAGAGAAGAATTCAAAAATGATAGCTAGAATAGTGAAATAACGGTCAAAAAATTGATTTTAACTGACTTTTAAGCTGTACCAAACAAACTCCTAAAATGAAAAAAAATCTACATAAGCACAATGGATACAAGAAAATGATTTAGAATATACAAACGTTCTCATTTTTTACATAGGTTGATTGGTATGGATATAATGTACAAATACAAAATAATATAATGATGAACTTTATTAAGGAGATAATAATGAAATAAATAAATAAGAAAATGCTCCATAGTTTCAAACTTATTCGTAAATCAATTTTCAGAAAATAATTCCTTATATTGATTTAAAATAAGGGAGATTTTCAAATAGTTTCAAACTTTAAAAATTGTTCAAATTAAAAAAAAAAAAAAAAAAGGAGGGATCCAATTTGAATTGGCCCAAACAAGCCAACTGATTGGGTTGGGTGGGGTTGGGTTGAATTAGTTTGATTTTATATCAAACCGATCACGTTGGGTTAAGTTTGGGTTGGATCCAACACAACTCATGCCTAGTCTTAAAAATGAAGCTCAAACAGAAAATAAGTTCATTGCCAAAAATAAAATGTTGGACAAAAATTGCACAAATGGCATAGCTTAAGGATCATTTGGCACAAAATTCCCAAGTAAAAGTGTTAAAATCAAACCATTACTATACAAAAGCTTATAATTTGGTAGAATATATATAAGAACTCAAAGGCCTTCCCCAACTCTACGTGTGAACAATTATATTAGAAGAATATGTAATTAAAATTAAGTTTGAAAAAAAATATATTAAACAAGAATTAAAATAAAAATGAAAAGGAAAAATGGGGAAAAAAAAATATTCACCTTCTCCCTTTGTTGATATTGTGGGATCGAGGAGAGGCAAAGATAATTTGTTAAAAATAATTTTTAAATCTTTTTTTACTCTTATTAATTATAAATGAACTCGTCAACTCTCAGACAATGTTTTTTAATCATGAATAGATACAATTATTTTTGTCAGGAGATAGCCACACCCTGTGTTTACGTGTGGAATTGTCGGCTAAGGTCACTTGTGAGTGGTGTGATATTCCAAGAACTAAGAAATTGATGCATTTTCAAGCAGCGCGTTTAGTGTCACTTATCACCTCGTGGCATGTGGTATCTTGCTAAAGAGTGACTTTTGCTCGTTAAAAAGGTTATCTTGTGAGTATGTCTATAAGTAGAAAAGCAACAAGGAAAACTCATTGTTGTCCGTGAGTCCAGTGAATGGTAGTGAGCATATTAAAGGAATTAATCATAATCGATCTCGAAATATCAAATAAGGTCACCATATAATCGACACTAGTTCGATGACAATTGATGACCAAATATTTAACCACGATCCATTAGCTGCTTGATCATGTTACATGACGATGGAGCCAAGTCGTTGATGTTGCCCCTCGAACATCTTATCAAGCCCTCCCTCTCCAAGTCATCTGAGATGGCAAATTGGCAAAAGCAAAAATAAGTTCTTATTTACCTCATTTTTTTAAAATTATTTTTTCTTAAATTCATTTCAATCATATGTTTCATACGATTTATAACTATCATCAATTTTTAGTCACATATTTTATTATTTTTTATCCAAATCTATTGAAAATGTTTTTTAGAGGAAGGGATAAGTCCTGATTTGATGGCCATTATTTGACAAAAACTTTGTTTTAAATAATGAGTTTTTGAAGAATTTTAAATTTATATATAAAATGTTTTATTACGTGAATATGTAATTGAAAATGAATGCATAAAATAAAGTTTTTGAAATCAAACATGAGTTAAAAATGAAAATAAGCTGCGAATGTCCGTACTTATCCCGAAACGGCAAAATGGTAAAAATAAAGTTTGGCAAGGGCTTTTCAGTACACCTGACCTGACCCAGTAATTATTCTTATAAATTCACAAAATTGTGGAGAAAAAATTCATTACTTTATACTCACCTTCGAAGTTGTTCGGATCATTTCTTGAGTTAAGGTATTATTTACTGTTAATCTTCAGTAATTTTGCATATAATTTTGCTCCGATCTTATAATCTATATATTTTTAATTGAATTTTTTGTTCAAAATTGAATATTTGTTCTTTTTCTTATTCTCTGGCGTTCCAGAAATGTTCTGAAGACTGGCTCGATTTTTTCGAGTCAAGATCAGCCAGTAGTTCTCGACTTACAGGTGAATTTTCATTGATTTGTAGTCTATTTCAATTAGGGTTCAACTTGTTTTCATATCTGTATATGTATGCGTGAAGTTTCAACCAATATTTGATGAATTATATGTATGGTCAAGGGGTTAATTTTATTCATATGGGCCAAAGTTATTTCCGTTTTGGAAAATAGTGTCTGTTACAAAGGCTTAAATTTATTATTATTATTATTATTATTATTATTATTATTATTATTATTATTATTATTATTATTATTATTATTATTATTATTATTTTTGGCTGAACACGAGCACGAGAGTTTGTTGATTATTTGGTAATGAGAATGAGACTACTTGCGAGCTCATCCTTTTGTGTTTTGTAGGTTTGAGTTATTATTTGCGAATTTTGAACAATTAAATTATATAATATTTTGAACTTGTTGATATTGTTTTTTCCCTCACGTCTCATGGATGATTGGACAGAGTTAATTCTGTTGTTTTTGAGTCCTCATCAACAAAAATAACAACAGAATTAACACTGTCTGGAGAGAAGAGAACTTGAAAGCAATTAAGCTGATCAACAAGAATAATCTTTTTCACTAAGAACATTAGGTATGCTTGTCCAGTTCACCGAGCCCCCAATTTCACTTCTACGGAAATCTTTGGTTCTAGTCTATGTTAACAGATTAAAACTTGAAGAATGGATTTTCATGGTATACTGAAATAAATTTCAAGAGTTGCTTAATTGTCTGCATATACCTGTGTTTTATCTCTTACATTTATAATCAAATGGAAGGAATGAATCCCGGGTTTTTTTACTCACTATATCAAGTATGCAATGGGATATCAAAAGTTGCGTGATTTCTTACTTTTTTGTTTGTCGATTATGCATTGATGTTTATTGGCTTGATTGTCTGTACTCTTTAATTGCTTTGTATCTGAATGCCTTTCGCGTGTACGTATTTGATCCCTATCCCGGCAAATGGCAGCATATTTGTGCTAATGGAGTCTTCTAAAGAGACAGGCTGTCAAACTCCTGAAGGCCCCATTCTTTGCATCAACAACTGTGGCTTCTTTGGTAGTGCAGCCACCATGAATATGTGTTCCAAGTGCCACAAGGACATGGTCTTGAAGCAACAACAGGCCAAACTTGCCGCTTCATCGATTGAGAATGTAGTCAATGGTGGCTCAATGAGCAACGAGAAAGAGTCTACTAACAGTGGTGCAGTGGATATGCAAGTTGGAGCAGCTGAGTTACAACTTCTTCCTGCACAAACATCTTGCAATTTGTTGTCAGGCGAGAGTTCAGAGGTGAAGGGAAAAGAGGGCCCGAGCAGATGCACCGCTTGCCGTAAGCGTGTGGGTTTAACAGGTTTCAGTTGCAGATGTGGAAATCTCTTCTGTTCAGTTCATCGTTACTCCGACAAACACAACTGCCCATTTGATTACCGGACTGCTGCTCAAGATGCTATAGCCAAAGCAAATCCTGTTGTCAAATCAGAGAAGCTCGATAAAATCTAGAATTCACTGTCACAAATTCTATTTTCTGAAGCAAAATGCTTTCACTTTCTATATCTGTATGTCTTCGTATAGGCTGGACACTCCTGCTGTGACGTTAATGGCCTAAGACGAGGAGGTGGCATCCTTACATTCTATAAAACTTTCAAGTGTTGTCGTTTGGCTGAGGTTGCTTTGGTTTGCTTCGGTGTTATTGTGCTGGCTTGAAGGATATTGATGTGAAAATTATTAACTTTCCCTTCCGGTTTATTGTGCATTTTCATTCTCATTTTTTTACACGTTCAACTCATATCACCATGATCTAAGTTAAGGTGTGCCTATTCAACATGTACTTTGTGTATTTGCTATGAGTTATTGTCATGTTTTTGAAATAATGATTTTTTAAGATTTTGTTCCTTGTCTGGCAATCTATTTTCTTCCTTTAAAAGGAGAATCGAACTACCTCTTCCCAGTACTTAGATCTTTCCTTAAATCTTGTCTAATTCCTGTTTCCTTTCTTCCACAGATTGCATTAACAGGATACTGTCGGGTATGCATAAACAGATACTACACAAAAATATCATATCATAAAGCTATTTGGTCCTTGGTTGTTTTTGTATCTATTCCTAACATAACAGAACAAAATGAAGAAAATAAGGAGCCTGAAAAAGTAATCGACAACGAATTGATCGCTCACTGTTCTCATGTGAACACACTATGCAGTTTTTTGGTATTCCTTTTTTCTAGTCGAACTTCTTTCTTTGCTTTTCCATGTGTCGTGCCTACTGCCACTGTTACGCGTTTGTTGTGCTCTTGCAGGTTTCATAGTTTTATATGCTTCTTATGTTACCCTTTTAAGGCTAAGGAATGGAAAGAATACTTATCTATCCGTGATTTTTCGTGTTTGCTATAAGCCATGTCTCGCTTGTTTGGCAGTTATTTTGTTCCGTTAAAAGAGATCGAACCATGTCCTCCCAGTACTTGAATCTTCCTTGGAAACGTCTCTAATTTCTATTTCCTTCGTTTCACAGATTGCATTGAGTCCGTCCTTGATAACTTCTCTAAATCTTGTTTCATTTCCATGTTTGGTTTGCTCTGTATTTGTACCGGCTTGATGGCTCCTTTTGAGTGTGAGTTTGTCCCTTTATCTGTCGAAGTTCCTTATATTATTTCAGGATGCTGGCATGAATTGGAGTCTTTGTAAGGCCAAATCAAGATATTATTTGGAAATTAAGTTATTCTCGTGTTTTGGGTCTCTCACAAGAAAAAAAACATTTTTGAGTGAGCGATATAGCGGAATCTGACTTTACCAATAATCTATTTATGCGTTAGTGGAGTGCAGGGCTAGGAACTTTTTGGATGGAGAGGCCATCGTCAAGTAGGCTTAGATATTCAAATTTATAAAATCTTTTCACAACAAATATGCATTTTTCAAAAGTAGCAAATTCATGGGATTCAAGAAACGCTTTCTTTTAGATGTCAAAATAATATTGTGGATACATTACAAGCCAAAAAGGTTAGAAAATTTCAAGGGGTTGACACTGTTGGGAAAAATTGAGTGATTTGTCTGTAGATAAATTTATCAATTATATAATCAATTAGACAACACAAACATAATTCAACAATAATATAAAATAAGAAGAAGGTTAGAAAATCAAGCCTTGGGAGTCATGTCTACGATGCTGTCCTAAAGTCGTGTTGCCTCCCCTTCGTGCAGGTTCTTTCGGCACTACACGGCTTCAAGATAAAATTCATATGGCTCTCCTTCTATGGGCACGACCATAGGGAGATAAAGAACGAGTCTTTATCTAGTTGCAGAAATACTATAGGGTAAAATTAGAGAATAATTTTGGAATCAATCATCTCAATTTGTGTTTTTCTAATTGTATCTCAAATTGTGATTTTCCTCCCTTAATATAGTGTACAATTTAAACCCCCACACTAATGAGAATTAATCAATTCATAACCTCCATTTAAATATTTAATTGTATGTTATATTATAAATTAAGATTTTAATTAAACCCAAAATTGAAAATTAAAAATATAATAATTTTGAAAGTTGAAACTTAATATAATTTCCAACAAAACTCCAATATTCTTAGCTTTGTGTATAAACAAAAAACTATGACATGTGATTAAAGTTGTGTTTGAGCCCCTTTAATTCTGAAAAATGAAATAATAAATTGATGAAAAATATGTGGTTAAAAAAAATAAAAAAATTTTGGTTGCGTGTAATATTATTTTAATGAAAAATGTGTGGTTAAAAATGAATATTGTAGAAAAAATAATGTGCTAGAATGTAAAATAATGAATGTCAAGGGGCTAAATTAATCACAAAACTTTCTTATGCCATTCTTTTTTCTAATTTTAACGTTTTGATTTTGCCAATGTGCAGAAGAATCATATTAGCGTGCCAAAAGTGTTAGACTTGAACGTCAAAATCGAGAAAAATTTACACTATCTTTTGGTTTGGCTAGAATTTCAAAAAATCATTCAAATACATTTAAAATTAAGAAATAATTTTGAACTTTTCAAAAATTCTATCAACAACCTTGCTATAGGTACAGCGATTTAAATCCCTGTATCTACCGAGCACTCACATTCAAAGGCGAGAAATTTATTTATTTTTTTAATATTTTATACACGGGCCCACTCTCATGTGAGTGAGAATTCAACTTAAAATAGCTTGTAATTTAACACACACGAAAAAAAGAAAAGAAAAAAAAAACAATAAAATGCTTTTGTTGAATATCCTTTGTCAACTGTCATGTGGGGGTTAGACTTTTGTAAGATCATTGTCAGTCACGGGTTTGTGCAACCTCTGCAATTAGTATCTTTGCAGTTTATTATTATTTATTTCAAATTTTTCTTAAAATATTGAATTTGTTTTTAAGGATTCGATTGCCAATAAAAATGTTTTCCTGATTACATTTTTACGTAGATAAAAATTTCTTTTACGATTTTGGATGCTAGACTATTTCACATCAATTTCATATGTATTATTGATAATATGAGTACTCACAAGAATAATATTGTTTGAACAGGCTCAATAATAGGCCACTTTTTGACTAATTCATTTGGCAATTTTTGATTGATAGTTTTTTGTTTAACTTTTCTTAACTATCAATGAAAATTTACTAAGTGTATGTGTATAAAAATACGTCATTGAGTCTATTCCTGTGGTAGAACTGGTACTCATAAATAGTCTTTTTTTAAAAAGTAAATCATTTTTTTTCTTTTACATATTCTATCAAAAAATGTAATTTTCATCTCTCATAAAAGAGGATTTTGACCACTGGAGATTTAAATCTCAAATTTATATCATCCTTGGGTACACTCTTAGGGACACTCTTAGGGACAATCCAATATTATTCTTGAAAATTATCGTCCAAAGTATTTTTTTTTTTTTTTTTTTTGGGACTTGTACGAATGGGCAAAATTAAAATTAGGGGTTTTTGAAAAAAGGCTTCTAATATGAGCTAGACTATTTCACATCAATTTCATATGTATTATTGATAATATGAGTACTCACAAGAATAATATTGTTTGAACAGGCTCAATAATAGGCCACTTTTTGACTAATTCATTTGGCAATTTTTGATTGATAGTTTTTTGTTTAACTTTTCTTAACTATCAATGAAAATTTACTAAGTGTATGTGTATAAAAATACGTCATTGAGTCTATTCCTGTGGTAGAACTGGTACTCATAAATAGTCTTTTTTTAAAAAGTAAATCATTTTTTTTCTTTTACATATTCTATCAAAAAATGTAATTTTCATCTCTCATAAAAGAGGATTTTGACCACTGGAGATTTAAATCTCAAATTTATATCATCCTTGGGTACAATCTTAGGGACAATCCAATATTATTCTTGAAAATTATCGTCCGAAGTTTTTTATTTTTATTTTTATTTTTATTAATTTTTTTTTTTTGGGACATGTAAGAATGGGCAACACTATAATTAGGCGTTCTTGACAAAAGGTTTCTAATATGATTAGTGAAAGGTCAATCATGTATCACTTTTGAATAATTTATAAATGTCTCATAGGATTCTTTTTTCACAAATTATTGTTTGTGCTAAGGTAAAAGGCCTCCATTTTCCTTAGGACAACATATAACTCTGTATAAAGTCGTCCAATAGTTGACTAAAAGAACCTACCCTATTGATATAATATTTGTGTTAAATGCCATGCCATACACACTAAAAGACTAAGGTCGCTCCCCAGTGCACATCCCAATTGGCAAAGATGAGAGCGCTTCAAGACTGGTAGATCAGAGGTCGTGAGTTTAATTCCTGAAAGGCTCATGAAAGGCAGATATTCTCCTGGAATGCAGGATTTATCTTGGAAGGCAGAAGCTCTACTGAAAGGCAGGGTGCAAAGATGGAAAACGACTTACTTACCACTTTGGCAGATTAGTTGGGGGCTCTTGAACACTTGTCAGTTTGAGGCACAACCTACGGTTTAACCTGTCTGCAGCTTGAGGGACCAAGGTGTAGACTCCAGAATTTAGTCACTGTGAGGTGGATATCTAGATATCAAAAAATAAAATAAAATAATAAAATAAAATAAAATAAAATAAAAGACTAAGGTCTTTGCCCGTTGCATCGGCCATACTTTACTTTCAACTTCACCCAAAATCCCAGCCATTTCATCAGTTCGCTCAAAACTCTCAGTCTGATCTCCAATGGCTATCACCTGCAAATACACACTACATTTATCCGTCATATTCTCTTTCTTCCTTGTGATTTCTTCTGCAGTTTCTGAATCCGATATTCTTCTCACATTCAAGAACTCCATTGAAGACCCCCTGAACTTCCTTTCAGATTGGACAAACACTACAGGGATTCACTATTGTAACTGGACTGGAATCAGTTGCACTAGAACATTTCCATTTTCTGCGTCTAGTATTAACCTTCAAAACTTGAATCTTTCTGGTGAAATCTCATCATCTGTATGTAAACTTTCCAAGCTAAGTAACCTTAATCTTGCCGATAACCTCTTCAACCAGCCTATTCCACTCCACCTGTCTCAATGTGGTTCCTTGGAGAGTTTGAATATTAGTAATAATCTTATTTGGGGTACAATTCCTGATCAGATTTCTCAGTTTGGGTCATTGAGGCTCCTTGATCTCAGCAGAAATCATATTGAAGGAAAAATCCCAGAAAGCATTGGTTCATTGAAGCAGCTACAGTTTCTCATACTGGGTAGTAATTTTCTTTCAGGTAGTGTCCCACTTGTTCTTGGAAATTTTACCGAGCTTCTGGTTCTTGATTTATCTGAAAATCCCTTCTTGGATAGTGAAATTCCTGGTGATATTGTTAAACTCAATAAGCTTGAACAGTTGTTGTTACAGGGCTCTGGTTTTTATGGTGAAATGCCAGATTTCTTTGTGGGTTTGAAAAGTTTAATGATTTTGGATCTTTCTCAGAATAATCTCATTGGTGAAATACCGAAGATTGAGTTGTTTCTCCCTAATTTGGTTTCTTTTGATGTTTCAAGAAATAAGCTTTCTGGGTCATTTCCAACAGGAGTTTGTGAAGCTAAAGGTTTAACAAATTTTAGTCTACATTCAAATTTCTTGAACGGTTCAATACCTAATGAATCCATTAATAAATGCCTAAATCTTGAGAGGGTTCAAGTTCAGGACAATGGGTTCAGTGGGAATTTTCCTTCTTGGCTATGGTCACTGCCTAAAGTTAAGCTCATTAGAGCTGAAAATAACAGATTTACTGGCGAAATACCTGATTCGTTGTCTGGGGATGCTCAATTGGAGCAAGTTCAGATTGATAATAATAGCTTCATTGGTAAAATTCCTCAGGGACTTGGGAAGATTAGAAGCTTGTATAGATTCTCCGCATCCTTGAATGGTTTTTATGGTGAGCTTCCCCCAAATTTCTGTGATTCACCTGTAATGAGTATAATAAATCTCTCCCAAAATTATATTTCAGGTAGGATCCCAGAACTGATAAAATGCCGAAAACTGGTATCATTGTCTCTGGCAGACAACAGTTTTGTCGGTGAGATACCGGAATCTCTTGCTAAACTTCCAGTATTAACTTACCTCGATCTTTCTTGTAACAATCTCACCGGTTCAATTCCAGAAGAGCTTCAAAACTTGAAACTTGCTCTCTTCAATGTTTCTTTCAATCAGCTCTCGGGTCGAGTTCCATTTTCATTGATATCTGGCCTCCCCGCTTCATTCTTGCAAGGGAATCCTGGCTTATGTGGCCCCGGCTTGACTAATCCTTGTTCCAGTGACAAGCCCTCGAGCAAAACATCCCATCTTACTAAAGTGACCTGTGCCTTGGTTACTACAGCTTTATTTTTCGCGCTAGTGATTGTTGCTTTTGGATTTTACCTTGTGCGTCGCTCTTACAATCGAAAATCTCAACTGGGTAGTTGGAGATTGGTCTTCTTTTATCCTCTTCGAGTGACTGAGCATGATTTGATTATGGCAATGGATGAAAAGACTGCCAGGGGAGGTGGTGGAGTTTTTGGAAGTGTTTATGTTGTGAATTTACCAAGTGGTGAACTTGTTGCCGTGAAGAAGATAGTGAACTTTTGCAGCCAGTCTTTGAAATCTTTGAAAACTGAGATAAAATCTATAGCAAAGATCAGGCATAAGAATGTTATTAAAATTCTTGGCTTATGTTATTCAGACGATTCCATGTTTTTGATATATGAATATTTACCAAATGGAAGCCTTGGGGATCTTATCGATAAACCATGCTTCGATTTTCCATGGACAGTTAGATTAAAGATTGCCATTGGTATTGCTCAAGCACTGGCCTATCTTCACAAGGATTATCTTCCACATTTACTTCACAGAAATGTGAAGTCGACAAATATTCTTTTAGATGCTGATCTTCAACCAAAGCTCACTGATATTGCTTTTGACCGAATTGTTGGAGAAAATGCATTTCAGTCAACCATGGCATCAGAATGTGCATCTTCTTGTTACTTAGCACCAGGTATTGAAGTGTTACAGAACTTTACTACCCTTTATTCTTGCATAATGCAATAATAAAGATGCAACCATGTAAGTGATTGAACGAAATTGCAAATGAGAATAATCTATAAAAATCTATTATGTTCTTAGATAAGTTATCCTTGATTCACAGTGTTTTGTCTTCTTAGTAACTATCTTTACACAATGGGAAGTTATTGCTAATGACTATAATTTTATATCCTAAAATTGTCTTTTCCAGGCTTAGAATTAATAATCCCTCACTCAATATTTGTTTCATTCCCGCAGAATATGGTTACACTAAAAAAGCCTCAGAAGAAATTGACACGTATGGATTTGGTGTCGTCTTGTTAGAGCTCATAACAGGCCAGAAAGCAGAACGAGAAGAAAAAGAATCAGGGGAGTCTCTTGATGTTGTGAAGTGGGTAAGACGAAAGATTAACATCACTGATGGGGCCTTGAAAGTTCTTGACCCAAAGATTTCGAGTTCCTCCCAACAAGAAATGCTGGGAGTTCTCGAGATTGCTCTACGTTGTACTGCTGTGATACCAGAAAAACGACCATCAATGTCAGAGGTTGTAAAAGCACTTGAGACCATCAACTCAAGAGCCAGTTCATCCAATCCACCCTTTTAAGGTCCTCTCTGAACTTTTAAACAAATAAACTATTTTGATTGTAAATCCTCCCTAACTTCAAATATACCATTTTGATTGTAAATCCTCCCTAACTTCAAATGCCTCTTTTGAAGTGAATCCTGTTTTTGAATGGTCATGTTCTGTGGTGTGATACATAGGAAGGGAATGTGTGGAGTATTAACTTCCTGGTTTTGTTTCTGTAGCATATTCTTTCCCTGCTTCTGAAACCTGCGATGAAATTTACTGTTTTTGCCAGTCATCCATGTTGTGCGTATAAAATTTTTGCCATTATTAAATTTTCTGTGATATTCTTGATAAGCAAGAACTTCCATATTCAACTAACAGTTCAGTTTAGCTGGACCAGATTACCCATTGACAGAGGATGTGCCGGTAAAATGCAAAATAGAGTGGAGCACACATTGACACAAAATATCAAGAAACCAAGCGAAAATTAGTTTAAAATACTAAACTGTAATCAAATTTAACTAATTGAAAGTTAGATGGTGTAACACTGCATTAAATTTTCGGTGTTAGCACAAAAACAAGACAAGAAAGTCTTGTATCAAACTACTAACATTTAAATAAGAATGAAAATAAATACTGACTCAACTACTAACTGCTAGGACCGCTGTTGCAAACCTCTACTAATTCTGCCACAATTTCATCAATTTCTTGATCTCCTTTGTCACTTATTTTCACTTTTATTTCGTCAGCTTTTTCTCTCACAGATTCTCCGCTTTTTTCCATCACAACTTGCTTAATAACTTCTGCTAATCTTTCTCTGTGAAGCTGCCCCTTCGAGTCTCTCACCACCTCCACACCAACACCAATATCTTCAACAAATCTGGCATTGATAGGCTGGTCGAGATGCATAGGCAATGCAATAATGGGAACGCCAAAATGCATACTCTCCAAAACTGAGTTCCATCCACAGTGACTCAAAAAACCCCCAATATTTTCATGTCCTAGAATTTTCAGTTGTGGGGCCCATCCCTCGATGACCAATCCTCTCCCTCTAACAATTTCAAGAAACCCTTTCGGCAGTGTCTCCTCGAGTTTATGTTCCACACCTTTAGGAAACCTCACAACCCATATGAAGTTAATGTTGCTTAGTTCTAAACCATGAGCAATTTCTTCAGTGTCTTGTTTGGAAAGAAAATATTCACTACCAAAGGAAACAAATACAGTTGATTTCTTTTCCTTTTTGTTAAGCCATTCTATAATCTCGGAATTCTCATTGTCCAGGCTCGGTTCTTGAACCAACGAACCAGCTGGTACAAACTTCTTGCCAACTAATTCAGTTACATAATCAATATACTTGGCCTCAGTTTTTCTAGCACCCTTTATCAGAACAATTTTGCAAGACCTTGCAACACCCTCCGAAGCACGATTTTTTTCTTGTGGATCCGATGCACAAGCTAGCAATTTATTCAAAAGCTTACTCTCATACTCACGAAAGTATATATTTGGGAAGGGGAATTCGATACCTGGCTTCTTGAAATAGTGAAACATGAAAGAAGTCATTGTGGAACTGCTGGTAATGAACTCAACTGCTGGGATATTTTGGACAGAAGCAGCAAGTGGTGCCCAAGGCTGGAGAAAATCATAGATTAGCAAGTCGGGCTTTATCGATGATAAAATATTGGCAAACTCAGGTTCGGCCATGTCAAAGGCCACTTTTAGCGTCGGCATGAGGTCGAGTGGGAGGCCATTGGTAGTGTGCAAGTGAGGAGGAAGACCTGGCAAGGTTGGCAAATGGAGTGAGACTAATTGTATCGTCTGTGCAAATTTTTCACTGATTTTTTGCTTGATGCAACTGAGATTAGCCGGGGTCGAACACAAGTATATAACAAAGTTTCTAGTGGTGAGTTTCTTGGCCAACTCTAGGTAAGGTGTTATGTGACCATATCCCAACCATGGGAACATGAGAATTCGAATAGTGCCTTTATCCATGAAAACTATACTTGTATCTCTCTCTATATATCTATGTGTTTATGTATCTATCTTGCTGGTTCTTGAGGCTAATGCTTTTGAGAGAAAACCAGTAGTCTTATTTATGTGAACGTGAACGTTGCATGAATGGAAAATTTAGTATGAAAGAATGGAAAGGATTCATTTTCCATACTGGAGAGCTCTTAAGAAATGGAAAGATTTATTGCAGATGAAGATCAAATAAGGACATGCAATATGAAAAGGGTAAAAATCTTGGGAAAAATTTAATTAAAGAAAAAATTATAAGATTTAATTCACAATCATGCAAGAAAATCGATGAACTTTCTGCGCTATGAATATATTTTCATTTTCTTGATTTAAAAAGGGTTTTCAATGAAATTTACAAAGAAGCCTTTTTTGATATCTTGATCATTATGTGTAGAGAATTAGAGATCCATTTATGGAGTATGAGCGTTGTTTGCACAAGTTAAATACTGTTGGTATGAAAGAGATGACTTTAACGGTTAAGAATGTAAAGGATGTTTATTAATAAATTATGTGCCTGTTCGGTAGTGATTATGAGAATTGATTTTTTGATTGTTAGAGGGTCCTATCTGCGAGTAAGGAAGTCAAAAATGACGGATGAAATAGTGAAATAACGATCAAAAAATTAAATTTTTTTGGGTGAAAATTTGGTACTGAATAAGGATTATATAATTATTTTCATCCTAATTGAGACCCAAATTAGGCCAAGTTTGCATTTGAACACAATCATGATAATTTTGATTCATGATTAAAAAATAATAATAATTTTGATCATAGTGGCATATTTCATTTCCTAGAATCGATAAAGTTAAGCATGTGACTAAATTCTTCAACCTTGTCAAGTTCTGTTATCTCCAATTAAGAAACAAATGTCACATATGATAGTATTCGATATTCTTTATAAAATTTGATATTCACAAGTTTTAAAAAAAAAAAGGGTGTCTAGTCTAATAGAGTCATTGGCATTTCTCAAAATTCGAAAATTTCAATAATTCAATAAAATTAGGATTCTCATCAAACAAATGTTGTACGAATTGAAAATTCTATAGTTGACAAGCCCCAAAGATTAGAAATGATACCAGTTTCCGTATTAATGGTAGGATTTAATGCACAAAAAGGATATGAATATTAATAGGGTAAGATTTAAGAACAAAATCACGGTTAAAAGGAAAAATGCCAATTAATTAAAGAAAAAGAATATTATATATAATATAATTAAGATTATATTTGAATCTTCCTTGGTAATCCACAAAGGACCACTCGTAGTTCATTATGCAATTCAATGGAATTTCTAAGGCCATGAACTCGACATTGAAATCTTAAGATTATAGATCTTCACAAAATTGTGCATTGTATCAAAATTATTATCATATGTATCGTGTTAAGAGTTATATTGAGAGAGAGAGCTTCATTAAATACTCTCTTCGTGTTTCATATATAGATGGTTGTCGTTATATGTAACGGGAGTTAAATTGACATGATTTACAATATAAATTCTCAACTATATGTCGGCCCGGAAGCAAATAATTAATACAATATCGTTAATGATTATTACTTATTCACTACCATTAAAAAAAAAAACCTTTCCCATAACATGTTCTCATAATTTGATACAATGAACTATGGACTCGAATACTAAAAATGAGCAAATGATTTCAGTTCTATGTATCATGCTGCTTTGTTTTTCATATTTACTGAGATTATATCACAAAATGCATCAAAGTAACCACACAATTCAAGCAACTATTTTAACCTTATGATGCCATCCAGACTTCACGAAGGAGATCGTACCTAGCATTGGCTCCAATATGGTCTGATTGATCGTGGTGATTTCCGTTTCCATTTCCATTTGATAGAGTAGTTGGAGATGACGGCATTTTGTCGATGACAGTCGTTAGACAAGATTCCAATTCGTCAAGTTCTTCATCACTTGTGTATCCCTTCCTCTGTATAAAAGATGCCCTTGGGGACAACTGAGATATTCCGCCACCCTCGCCAATTTTTTCTGCAATATCAGAAGACGTAGGTGGTGTGTACACAACTGGAGCAGCAGTGTAGGGGAAGCTGCTGTCGGATTCTCCTAACAATCTCCGTTCAATGATACACTACAAATACAGATCGGAAGAGGAAAATTAATTTATTTTGTAAAAGATGAAATACAACAGCCAATATCACCCTGTTCCGCATAAAACTGAGATTGGCAACATGAATCTTTTTTCTCCACGCCGTTTTGTTTAATGCTATATCAATTGTAAGATTTAAAGTAACTAGATTCTTAACAACTTCAGGTCATATTAGTTTTGGTCTACACCTCCCTCACTTTTTTTACCGAGATTGTCACTTTTAGGAACAAGTCTCTCCTCCGATCTACATGAAATGTGTCCCAATTAAGCTGTCCTTTCCTTGATTTATTCTCAGCCAATTCCACCTCCACTTCTTATTTCTACCTCTCTCCCCTTAAGGTATCATGGCAGAAAAAAAATCCTAGAATGGCTGTAAGTCCTAGGCTAAGACTCGAAACTACCGATTTATGGTAATTTCACATTGTACTTGTATGAAAATATTAATTCAGCCTGCAAGTGAAGAGCATGTTATCTAGCTAATAGCTTAAACTCTTAGATGAAGTAGTTCGAGACATTCCAGTAATTAATTATTTTCAGAGAACAAGTAATTCTTGAGGCCTCTAGATATCTATTAAGCATTGATTTATTTACCATAACGTACATATCTATTTAGAAATTATACATTCTCAGACTGATATATAGCAACTCTTTTTATATTACTCTGTTATTTTTTTTTGACCATATTATTGATGCCCACACATGCATGTCACGTGGTAGTAGCAGCAGCAAGTTGTCAATTCCAGATGGTGTAGCTTCCGGTACATGTGATCGTACATGACAAATCACAAACCTAATAAGAAACAGTTTTTTGATATTCACAATCTAAATTGTGAGAGCCACAGACATTTGAACTTGCTTTTGACTAAGTGATAACGACCAATTTTAATAACAGTTTTTCGTTGCCCAAGAAACATGAAAGGTAACAGCAACCATACCTCAGCATTAAGTGCCTCTAACACAGCACCAGGGACAGAATCAGGGCAGAACTCATCTGGAGTGAAGTTGCACACTATTCGCTTAACTAATGAAAGACTGATTGACGGACACACCTATAGACAAAGATGCACATGGATACGTGGTCCGTAAAAGAGAAGAAACGAAGCACTTCTGCAAAATAAAAGAAAAAAATAAAAAAGACGGTGTGATCATATAGTGGACCTCCATTCTGATTGCTCGATCCATAAGCATATCTTTCGGAAGCATTAGAAGATCACTCAAGGCATTTAGAAGAGGAAAGCATTTAGGTTCCTCACTAATACCCCTCCTGTCATCATCCTTGCAGCTGCTCTTACCATCTTGCACAGAACCATCAGCATCCATGCCAAGCGAATCTGTCAGCCATCTAGCCCAATTGCCAACCTAAAAACATTGCCTAATTAGCATACACGAGGATGAAATAATACGAATGTGTTAAGATTATATGTCTGGTCAGGAATACATAGCAAGAATTTTTTAAATCCCGATTAACCCAATCAATGCTAGCTCCACAATTGACAAGGTGAGCAGAACCTCCTGTAATTCGGTCTTATATAGAACTGGGTGTGGCATTTGAATGGTAAATTCAATATGGCAGTTGACTTTGCTTTTAAGGAAACAATAAAATATAAAAAACCTTTGCATGCCATTCAGTGCAAACAAGTTCTCTCAAGTGTGCTGTGCTAGAGAAATCACGCAAATTATATCCATGTACTTACGGAATTTTTAAGCTGTGCACCAGACCCAAAACTCAAGTCTCCAGCTGGAATAGGCAAAACCTTGGAATCAAGTATAGGATCAGATATAGGATCGGTTGGGATCTCGTGGGCAGACTCACGGAGAATGGCATTGAACATGGCCACGTCTAGCCTCCCAACACATTGTTCCATCACCTATTAGAGATAATAATTGTTGAAACATGTCAGATCCAGCTGCAATATATATTGAACTGCTCCTGTGTTGAGCAGCTTGAGCTTGTTAATAATCAAATTTCATCTTTACACCCAAACAACCCTCCACACAAACAATCACATGCGGAGAAAGAGGACGAGGCAAGAGAGAAGGAAGAGTAAGTGAGAAGGAGGCTACAAGTGATAAATAATGACATCTAGCTTACAAACCTTCCTTGACAAAACAGGCAAGCAACCACATTCATGCCCCCCTGATCGAACAGGACAAAGTCGTCTGAGAGCATCATGAAAAGCATTTCTCCACAAGTTAACAGAAAAGTTGCCTTGCTGCTGGTCACCTAAGGCCGGCCCCAGTAACTTACCAACTGCTTTGTTTGTTAGGGACTCGTCAGTGGGAGATTGCATATTAGGAGTCAGAGTCTGAAGCCAAAATAAATTAGTGTTAATAGGGTGAGCACATAGCTGTTTCCAAAGACAGGTTTAACACATTTCGCAAGCTGTATACACGACCAACAAGTAGAATAGTAAAATTAAAGATATTATCTCATATGAAAGTCAAAGTACGATGCTTCGTTCTTGTAGAATAAAAAATAAATGTCTACAATTGAACACAAGACTGGTATGTATTATGGGCAAGTAACTGCATACCCTTATGCATCAAGTATATACATAAAATGATCGTATGTACGAATTACCTGCCACCATATTGACTCAACTATCCGTGAGAATATCCAGGACTCGACTTTCTCCAAGGCAGCAGTAAAGGTTCTTGTTTGTTGCCAATCGTCAACAAACTGTACAAAACCCAGCGTGCTTGGTTGTCGACTGCCAGACTTATTTTTCCAGTTGACCGATGAAGACTTTGATTCGCTCTTCTTTCCTCCTCCATTTGACTCGACGATCTTCGTAAGGGAACTGGAGACACATGAACTCCCAAATGCTTGAGAGAGAATTTCTCTCAGAGCAACAGTGTTTGACAACCAAAATGTTAACCTGGTACAACATTGTAGGAAAAGATTGTAGTCAGCCTACAATAAATTACCCAACTTGTCATATAAAAGAAGCTTCTATTACACACCTTGAAACCTCATTGCCACATGACTTAGCAACTAGAACAAGCCCAGATATAGTGTTTCTAGCAATGGTCGCTCGCTTTACTTGAGAGCAATACTTGCATGCATGGATATAGAGTCGAGAAAGGCGCCTCGCAGGTGTGTGCACCTTGTGTGCTGAGTTACCATGCTCAGGTACAACAGAGTAGAGTGCAATTTCAAGGGCAGCAACCTCTTTCAGTTCCTCTTCCAATTTCTCAATCCTATTCTCCATTTCCTCAATCTTTTGACCTAAAGCAGCCCTGTCTTCATTCTCACCATTTTCCTCGTTACTAACTATTTCATCATCACTGCAGACACTAAGAGCACCATTTGAGACCTCATCGAGGACATCTGCTTCCTTTACCTCCTCAAGAGGTTTGTCATCAACTCTCTCAGAGATCTCTGATAAAGGTTTTGGATGGACTTTAATATTTCTTGAGTTATCAGTTGAATTTCTTATTGTCGATTTAGAAGGCCCTTTGTTGGGTTTTATGGCTTTCTTTGGTGTGGCTTTTGAAGCTTTGATTTGTGAACTATTCGTTTTCTGGTTGGATTTCACCCTTGGTGCATAAGAACTGTCAGGGGATTCATTTTTAGCAAGCATTTTGGAAACTCTTGACGCCTTTTCTAGCTTTTCCTCATCAGCCATTTGTGGATCCCCTCGAGATGAAACTGAATCACTGATTGTCCCAGGATCAGATTCTTCGGCAGTCCCCTCCCTACATTCACTCTCCAAATCACTAGAATGACCATTCGATTTTTCCTTGCTTTCTTTCTCAACCATTTTAAGTATTTTTGAATTGTCTAATGCTTCCTCAGACCTGTAGACATCATCCACATAATCTATAACCACATTGTTATAAACTTCAGAGGACTCTAAGTCCATGTTTGAATCACTTACTAATATGTTGGACTTTTGTTTACCAGCTGAAGCTTTAACATCAATCTCTTTCACCTTCAAGTTTTTCCCGCAATTTTCAGCCTTTGAAGGACGTTTTCCTTGTTTATTGTTTGAACCCCTCTTCTTGTCGGTCTCCTTCATGCTTAATTCTTTTCCTTTTTCTCACTGCATTTTCAGAGAAAGACTAATTACTGAGAAAAGCACAAATGACAACCACATAAATCAGTCACAGAGAGTTCACCAAATATCCTTGGAAGTCAAAAGTGCATATTTCCATTCCTGAAGACTCAAATATCATATGTTGAACAGGATAAATAACTCAATTGTGACTTACAGGTTGTCCACAACTATGATTTTGATAGATTTTGAAATATTATAAATTCTAATGAATTTCATGGATTTGAATAGATTTCCACAAATTCCATAAGAATCTCATCAAATATGGTGAAATTTCAAATGATTTGGTCATACGTATTTTAATTTTGAAATCCATTCAAATCTTTTAAAATCCCTCTATTGATGAAATATTTATAAATCTACTAGTTATTGAAGACGCCCAAATTTTAAAGAATTTTATTGAATTTCATTAAAATCTCAATTGGAAACACCTAATTTTTAATAGATTTCATTAAAATTTCAATTGAGCACACCTTGATTTAGAAGGATTTTTAAAATACATCACAATCTCAATCAAGGACACTTCCCTTAATGTTAGCCTTAAATATGTTCGGTAAAATTGCACAGGTCAGGCTCCCACTAAGCAAACTAGGAACTGCAGATAAGAACAATGATATTATAGCTAGGTATACATGCCAAATCACAAACTGAAGCAGAACTACACTGCTCCCATAGGATTATTGAGTCCTTATGCTCGTTCAAATTATATTAACATTTATAACGCACAGAAGTCATGGTAATATGCACAAAAATTCGTTCTAATCAGGAAAAGTGTATTGCTATCGGTCTCCTCATGCAATTACATTCATACCCATTAATTCATGCTAGATAGAAATGTGACCTGAATTTTTTAATCTTTATTAAGAAAAGGCAATACCATAAATTATTTCACCAGCAGATGAGTAAGGTAATACAATGAGAAAGAACAATTTAATCAATCATTTGCTATCTCGTAAATGTGACTCAAAATACGAGCAGAGTAACTTCTCCATCATTCTGGAAGAAAGAAAGTATAGAAACAAAATGTTCATCGAGAACCCAAAGTTAGAGCTTATTTTCACTTTTGTATATTCCGCAGAACAAATCATTATATAAATTTTTCATTGTTAACATATTCAGAACTTCAAGTTCAATTCTAGTCTAAAGACTAAAGAAATAATCAAAATCGAAATCCAGTTTACGATAACGAAATCATGGAGACTACACTAAGCAATAAGAAACTCAAGTCGTCCATTTTATAATGTTATAGATCCGGAAAAAATTAAAGTTCCATAAGGTAATTCTTCGTGCATATACAAAAACTCAGTCATGATGTACCCGCGCGCAAAGAGAGAGAACAGAGTAGCAAGAATTCAGCAATAATTTTGTGTTGAAAAGCACCGCAAATCCAGGTGGACACCACGAGACGGTTACATTATATGGAAAGTAACTGTCAAATGAAACACAAAAAATTTCGAAAATTCAACTACCATTAATAATAACCAATTATTCGGGGGGGGGGGGGGGGGAATTCAATCCAAAACACAAGAAGGAAGCGATATTTCCAAGACGAACTGGACATTAATATCAAAACATCCAGTTAAAAACAACAAGATCTAAGAATTAAAAAACTAATAATCTTCAGAAAATCGATAAAAACGAGAATGTAAAGCAGAATCTAGTCGATATATTTGCATCGAAAGTAGTAAAAAAGAAAAACAGTAAAAGATATTTTTAGAATTTACCGAAGTGCACCGAACTCGAGAGATTGCAGAAACTTCAAATGCCAAATTCCTCCTCTCTCACACACACACTAGCACGCAGTGTTACTCTCAAGAAACTGAAAATGAGGAATCGAGAAGTCTCTCTCTATATGAGTGAATGTGTATGTATAAGTGCAATTATGGGAAATGGTAATGGAGTGCGGGAGGAACATGATTTAAAAGGCTAATACTTTAAAGGATGGCTGCAGTATTCGGGTGACCGGTAAAAGTTGTCGGTGGGGGACAGTGACCGGATGATCCCGGTTACTTTACGCGTTATTATTAATTATAATTGATAATGTGTGATATACAGTCTAATAATTACATTTCAAGAACAAAATTAAGGATCTTTTTGTACGGAATTTCATTTAAATCGATCATTTATGCCAATTACGCAACAATAACATGCTTTTGATAACATTTGAGCTAATTTTCTTAGGAGTTGCAATGGGCAAGCCAAATCGACCCAACGTGTAGACTTTTGAGCATGGTTCATGTTCAAATCATAGGATAGATTCAATCCTATGATTCGTGAATTTCATGAGTCGGCTCATTTTAATTTTTTAAAATAAATTAAAAATTAAGCCAAAAATGAAGAGTTTTTATATAAATTAATAAAAATAAGTCCAAAATAAAAGAAAATAAAAACGAGTATTCACAAGTCCAGATGAACCAGCTTGTGAGCTCGTGCCCATGAGCTCAAACGAGCCGATTTTTGTACCTTCTGCTTGACTCGTAAAAATATCGTGTTCAACTTGGCTCATGATTCATCTCAAAATAGGTTCGAATTGTTCGTGGACCAAATCGATGCGAGTCTAGCTCGCAAGCAACTGATAGGTTTAGGTAAAATTGTTCTATTGATCCATAACGTAATGTGAGTGACAATCAAGTCAAATAGGTCAGGGGATGACGGTGAGGAGTAGCAAGTGGTGGGGGTGACTTATAATTGAAAGGAAAATAATTGAAAATGACGTTAACACAGCATGAATAGTATGATAGTCACAAAAATATAAAAACCTCTCACCTGTCTCTTTCCACATGAATGTAAGCTTCACCGACAACGACTTCAAATACAAGGAACCAGCCAAAAGCTGCTTATTCACAACACAACCCCACTACCAATAAGCATTTTAGGCAAACCCAAACCTCAATTATTTTGATAGGCTAGAAAATTTTTTATAAAGTATGTGGACAGAGCCCTTAGCCTTATCCATATTCGAGAATTCGATCCACCGTACAAGTTTTCGGGCCCCGACCTGAGTTTGCCTAGTATATGATCTTAACCATTGGTGATGCATATTAGGGAAAATTTCATAAGAGATTAAGTACGGTATATTTTGAAAATAAGAAAATAAGTTTAAAAATTCAAAAATCAGATTTTAATTAAAATTTATTTATGATTTAATTATTTAATTAATTTAGTGTTTGTTTGGTAGGAATTTTAATAATTGATTTTTTGACCGTTTGTAATAAAATGAATCCTATCTGTGAGAGAAAAATTTTAAAATGGCAGTTGAAATAGTAAAATAACGGTTAAAAAATTGATTTTAATTAACTTTTAAACTGTACAAAACAAGATCTTAATATATTTAGGTGGCAGATCTATACAATTTGATCACGAATTAACAATTTAATTACTAATTTATTATTTTTATGACAAATTTAAAATTTTATGTCACAAATTATTTTACGATCATGATTCAAAAAAATTTCAAGTCACAATTTTTTCTTCGGTCACAAATCAAAAAATTAATTAGTCACAAATTAATTTCTAGTCACAACTTATTTTTCAATCACAAATCAAAAATTTTATAAATCACATTATTTTTTGGTCACGAATAAAATTCTTTATAGGTCACTGGTTATTCATTGGTTACAAAATCAAAATTTTTATTGGTCACAGCTCATATATTCATTTCAAATTATAATATTAATTGGTCACGATTAATTTTTTGGTCACAACTCATATATTCATTTCAAATTATTAGATTAATTGACCACGATTAATTTTTTTGTTACAACTTAATCAATTGTAAGTCACAGTTGCAAATTTTAGGTCACATATTATAAATTTAGTCACAGTCACATATTCGGCCACATATTATTTACCGATTATAAATTAACAATTTATTGATCATAACATAATTGATCACAAACACTCTTTCCACCCACTGCAACACTGCCAATCACCACCTCGCTAAATCCACCACTCCGCCCGCTTTACCAACGCCAAAACCACCTAAATTCCCAATAACGAACGACCACCACAACTCCCAACAACCAAAAAAACACCACCACCCCCACCACTAACCACACTACCGCATCACCACCACCACCACCCCATAACCTGTAATAGCACTACCGTAACCCATCGTCGCCAAAACGATTGCCATAGATCCATTGAATCGCAACCCACCACAGATCAACCATCATCACCACAACCCAACACCGTACTGCAATCGCCATCAACCACCGCACCTCACCTCACCAAATCCACCATTCTCTATTGAGAACACCACCACCACACAGATCACCATCCAAACCCCACCCAAACTGCCACAAATCTCCACCACACAAAAACATCATCCAAACCCAAAAAATTGCCACCAACCCAAATTGCCTCTCCTTCGCGTGTGCTTGTGAAGAGTCGTCGATCTGCTTTGCAGTATCATTTCACCATAGTTGCTCCCGGTGATTCGTGGACCACAACTCACAGTGGATCTGCTGCAGAAATAGAAGAGGATAGGATAGGAGAGGAGAGGGAGAGTTGACGGTGTCTTTGGAGTAGAGAGTGGTGACGGCGACATTGCTTCAATTGGCTTCACTCCAGGCTGACAATCTCACTTTATTTCCCCATTGTTGATAGTCAGCGGTTGAGAGATGAGAACAGAGAGAAATGTAGAGAGAGAGAGAGTATTGAGAATTAATTAGGATTTGTTTGTAATGGAGTGTATATATTTAGTAAAAATATTTATTTTAAAAAATGTTAATTAAAATAAAATTTCTGATTTTTGAAAAATTAAACTACTCATCTTATTTTAGAATTGTGAATTTTTAACTTATGGAATTGTATAATTTCCACTGCATATTAATTGCTTAAATTAATAGGCCCAACTTGTCAATGAGCTGGTCCCATTTTCGGCTGTCCACTTTCCAGCCATAAATATGGTGGGTTGTTGCCTTGTGGGTCTAACTCACCACGTTGACCTGTCGACAGGGTTGAAAGTTGGACAGAGAGTGCGAGTAGCTACTAGTTGGACGCCAAATGCAGCCGGTCGAAAATATTGAAGAGTCCGTGATTAGATTCACGTATTATCGGTTTTCGTTGGAGTTTGAATTGGGTAGGATACAAGTATGTTGGTCAGACCAGTTTACATTTTAGAGTAACAAATTTAGACCCGATAATCAAAGACGAGCAAACCTATCAATCCGGTTCATATCTTGGCGTGTGGGCCCACGTTACATGAACAATGGTTTTATTATATAATTTTCTATTTTTAAAAAAATAAAATAAAATCCCAGGAACCTTGTAAACTAGGGGAATGAACAACGATATCACTCTTGATCTGGCAATAAAACCAAAGATTTCCTTGTCCACGATCATGATTAAACCACTTAACCAAATCTCAACCATGCCCTAACCGTTATTAAAAAATAATTTAAATTATAAAATAGAGAATTATGTATCAAATTTCTAAGCGTAAAAGAAGCAAACTAGTGTTCACGTGTGTGTTTCGACATTTTATTCTAGTCGTGAAAACCCATGTTTTTGTTCTACAACTCCGAGCCTGTGTGCATGTTCAATTCTAATGGGCTATCTAATAAACATGATAGCATTGCTTTTAGAGTAACATTATTGCCACTAGTAGAGATCCATCATCAGACAGGAGGTAAATGGCAATGGGTCCCCTGCAGAGGTGTCAACAGTAAATTTGTATGCTCAACATTTTGCCCAAATATTTTTCAAGATTTTTGAAAAACTCCTTGTAGTTCAATTTTTGCCCCCACAATTAAAATTTTGTGTAATTC